AGACAGACAGACAGACAGACAGACATATGATGGGAGCAAATAAGAAAGATGGTAAACACAGAGCTGCCAGGGATAAAACTAGACACCTGTCACATACTTGCTGGGAACCGACTGATTTTGAAAGAACCTTGTTTGGCGAAACATCAGCTGCTGCAGAAATATAGCAAATCATGTGCAACACAGCAATTACAGTGCCTTTGGTCAAAGACCTAGTGAAATGTGAGGATGTATAGCAGAAGTATTAGGAAATAAGGAGAGAAGATGGTTCCCATGTTAGTAGGGGATTAGACTTTCTTCTGGAGATGTGTTTATTCACTGTACAAATGAAACTCATTTTGACCCAGGTTGGGAATGATGGACTTTCTCTAGGATTAAAGCTCCTGAAGCTATGTTGTGTGGGCACATGTGTGCATGTGTTTAGTAGGGGCTGACAAGTGGCATGTTTCAAGTGTGTATGTCCATGGGAATCACCTGGGGAATCCTGTCAAAATGCAGATTCTGTTAAGGAGGCCCACAGTGGGGAATGAGAGTCTGTATTTCTAACAAGCTACTAGGTGAAGTGGAGGCTCTGGGACCAGGAAATACACTTTGAGAAATAAGGCTGTAGAGGGTACAATGGAGTAGCACTCCAATTCCAAAAAGTATAACTTTTTATAAGAGCTGCTTCTGACTTGCTTGCTCTCCCTTCAACTTCACACTGGCGAGGATCTGGGCGACTTGTGAAGTTCAAGTCTTTGTTGAGCTGTCCTGTGCAGCTTTCCAGTCCATGTAGGCATTTCCCAATGCAGTTCTTGTTAACCTGGTGGGCGTTTTGTATGTAGTTCTCTATGTCAGGCAGCAGGGGGCAGTTTCCACCTGGTCCTTCTAGTCAACTACAAAGGTAAAAACAGCCAATTTGGACTCTCAAATATCCTGTGCTTTGAAATGCCTCGGCCTGTTTTTAGGCCATGTTCCCACCACTTTTCTCACCTTTGCCTTCAACTCCTTTCTGTCCCAGAGGCTGTGGGGTGCTAAAGACTACAAAACTGCGACAGCAAGCTTTGGTGTTGAGTTTGCTTCAGCTGAAATGAAACGGGCTCCCACTATTGACATCACGTCATCCACCTCCTACGCCAACTGCACACTGGGCCTCCTACTGGTGTCCCAGGCCTGAATCACTTGCCAAAGAAAACCAGCCTTTAAGGAAAGTCACTTGGTCATGGGCAATCCAGCAAATCTTGATTCTAAAGTGAAATGGAGGCAATTTAAAAAAAAGTCTCATCCAGTGTGTTTCTTACTGGGGCCGGGATCACTGCTCCCACCTGCAGGACCCACAGCCCTCTTACTAGGGACCCCTGCATTGGTAAAGAGGAGTCTTTTTCACATGGAGAAACTCTTTAAGCTAAAGCAAAATATTCAGAGAAGCAGAATTCTTCCCTAACAGCCGCATGCTTCTCCTTTTTAAGCTTTTAAAAAGGTGGCAGGTGAATGGGCGCAGAAAGAAAACCTGGAGGTAACGAGGCTAGTGTCAAGATGAGGGAGGACTGTTCAGCTCGGGCACCCTTTCCCCAAAGTCTTCTTTCCCTTCAAAGCTCAGCTCGCCCTGGAACATGGAAGGCCTGGCTGGGTCACCCCACTCCCTGGCTTTTGGAGGGCATTGTTCGTCTTCCTTTTTGTCTTATTAGTGACCTGTACCTTAGCCAGTTGTGTTTCTTCTCTTTTTTCAGGAGTGTCTACCAAATCTAGGATGGACTGGTGTAACATTATAACAGGTGGCCTTGGTTGGGTGGACGTTTATCAGGCAATACGGGAGATGTGAGCAAAGGGCTCTGCTCACTTAAATATTAAAACAAACAATCACATCTCAACACTGGGGTTGAGGGGAACTGAGGAAAACAGGTCAAGGCTTAATTCAATTTGGAATTTTCTAAGTTTTGGAATTAGTCATTAAATATGACATTTCATTAGGGACTGCTTACCTGGGATGTCAATTATAATATGCTGAGATGTCAATTATAATATGCAATTTAATTTAAAATAATTGGCTGGCTTAAGTCTTGGCACCCAGAACAGAATCCACTTGCAGTAGAATGTGGTGTAAGGGAAATCCAGTCTTTCTATTTGTGTAAGCAGCCCCAGATACCCAAGGTCTGCCACTTCATTCAGAGCCGGGCAGTCCTGAGGGCTTCTCGGGGGATTTTCATGATGTGGGGGAGGCGGAAAGTAAGTTTGAGAAACAAGGCTATTTCTCAAACAGAGAGACGCCTTCCCCAGAGAGGACCCATCACCTCTGGCACAAAGATGCTGCTCAGGATGCCAGGCAGAGATTAACAGGTTCATTTTTTTTTTTCAACAAAAATAACAACAAAAGGCATTTTTAAACATATACCACAGAATGCCTTTTCTATTTTTATGTGGAAACTGATATTGATGAGTCATTCAGGCGGGGGCTAGTTTCTGTGACACCCATATTCACTGATAACTTAGGGAACAAAAAGAAGCCCCAGACCTGGGCACACGGCCCACCATTGTAGGCTCCAGGACGTGGCGAACAGAAAGTTTATGGCCACTGGGAATGTTTACAGCTGAGACTCTAAACAGAATCTGGGACATGGGCAATTTTTTTTTTGGGGGGGGATACTGGGAACTGAATCCAGTGGCACTTTACCATTGAGCTATATCCCCAGTCCATTTTATTTATTTATTTTGAGACAGAGTTTCTCTAAGTTAATTAGGGCCTCACTAAGTTGCTGAGTCTGGCCTTGAACTTGTGATCCTCTTGCCTCAGCCTCCCCAGTTGCTGGATTATAGGCATGCACCACCATGTCCAGTCATGGGCAACTCTTGGGGTGGCCACATGGCTGGCTGAAAGGAGTCTGGGTGCAATTATGAGTTCAAAATGAAAGGATTAAGCTTACTTGAAACCCACTTTGGAAAAATGGTCGCTTAAAAAAAAGACAAATTTAAAGGTATTCATCTCATCCATGACAAGAATTTCAGGTGTCATTGTGTTGAGGCACAAAACCAGTCCTGGACCAGCGGATGGGAGGGGTGGGCATGGGTAGGTGAGCACAGCTGTTGACCCCTCCAGGGGGCTTTGGTATTTTCAACTTGGTGCTGCAGATGTGGCTGCGCCGGTGAAATCATATTTCACAGCATTTTATGGGAAGAATTATATGCTTTGGTGGGATGTATACATTTTGGGGTTCAGAAGTTATACTTCCTTTCTCTTATACCCTTACAACAGTAATCATTCTTTGCTTTTTATTTGATTCAACATGGACAGTTCACATCCAAGAGGAAGGTAGTTATGCTGTAAATGAATTTTATCTGACAATAAAGGACTGGAAAGGTCAATCACCCTATTTCTAGTTTCCTCTCATATTCAATTTCACTTTTAAGGGCTACACTTTTGGCACATTCTTTCTAAAAGCCTCAGCATATGGCTTTCATCATGTTGTTCCCATCTCCAGTGACACCCGCTTCCCCTCATTGCTGGATAAAGGCCAGACTCTTCTGCCTTCCACCCAAGCCCCTCTGCCGTCTGGCTCCAACCTACCTTTCCTGCTCTCTCTCCCATGAGTTCTCCTTAAGAACACACCTTGTGCTATTTTGCCTCTTTCTCTTCTTTAGTGTATTTTGCCCACTCTGACTTACACACCCATTCCTACCGCCCAGCCCAATGTTACACGCTCTGTCCTGGACCATCTTGCAGCCACTAGGGCTGACCCCACTTCTGAACACGCTGTCACACTTGCTCACCCCCCACATATACAAAATTAGCCTGAGGGCTAAAATAATAAGGACTGTCTTTATTGTGGTTCCAAGGACAGCAGAGTTGGGGATGTCACATAGGATGTCTGGCAGAGATTAATGGATTAACAGGTTCATTTTTTTTTCAACAAAAATTACAACAAAAGGTACTTTTACTTTTATGTGGAAATTGATATCGACGAGTCATTCAGGCGGGGGCTAGTTTCTGTGACACTCATATTCACTGATAACTTAGGGAACAAAAAGGAGCCCCAGACCTGGGCACATGGCCCACCATCGTCTCCCCTCCATCCTCGGATGGAGTTTGGAGTGAATGGCAATGGCAATGCCTATGTTCTCCAGTTAGGACATGTGGCTTTGATTTGTCACAGCCCCTAGAGTAAATTCATTCCAAGATGAAGATAAAATAGACTATTTTGTGCCTGGTGGATTAGAGCCTTTCTGTTATTTCAAATGCAGTACTGAAGACTGAACTTTAGTCGGTGACTCACAGAGAGGGAGAGGTATCTGAATTTTCAGGAATAATACCACTTCTAAGTGAGGGGTTGGCATCATTTTGAGGTGGGTGTTAATCTACACCCAGTGTAGATTATGGGTGACCTCTGCTTATCTCTAGGCCACTTCTGGCTATGAGTAGTTTGGTGTTCACAGAGAAACTCTGTGGCACCAAAGTCTTACTGTTTAAGACAGAGCCAAACCAGGTTGTGGCATACACCTGTAACCCCAGCTGCTTGAGAGGCTAAGGCAGGAGAATCTCAAGTTTGAGGCCAGCCTGGACAACTTAGGGAAGCGTGTCTCAAATTGGTGCAGCCAATATGGAAAGCAGTATTGAGATTCCTTGGAAAACTTGGGATGAAACCACCATTTGTCCCAGCTATCCCTCTCCTTGGTCTATACCCAAAGGACAGCATGCTACAGGGACAAAGCCACATCAATGTTTATAGAAGCACAATTCACAATAGCCGTGGAACCAACCTAAATGC